AGTCCAACTCCTCTGCTACAGCAGGGACACCTGGGGCATGTGGCACAGAGTGGCATCCAGACAGGTTCTGAAGACCTCCAGAGAAGGAGACTCCACAACCTCCCTGGGCAGCCTGTTCCACTGCTCTGTCACCCTCACAGTAAAGTTCACGTGGAGATGGAACCTCCCATGTATCRTTGCTCCTTATCCTGTCACTGGCCACTACTGAGAAGAGTTTGGCCCCTTCCTCCCTACATTTACCCTTCAGGTATTTGAATAAGGTACCCTCAGGTATGAGGGTACATATGGGTCTTGATATGGAAGGATCCTCTATGGGGAATTGTGTGGGTAAAGAGCAGCCTACTTTTGGCTGTTTCAACCATCCAGCTCCACCCAGGAGGCAGCCTAGCACTTTGAGGCAGATGTTTTTTCATCGTGGCAAAGGAAGGAACACATAAATGGCAACCAGTACAAGTCATGTAGATTTTAACATGGTGTGAAATAACTGTGTTTCTTCCCCCTGGCTAGTGCCACTAACTGATAGCAGTGTTGAAATGAGGGTTGCTGCTCACAGTCAGACTTTTTACAGCATTTTTCTGCCAGGACTTCTCAGGCTTGTGGTCCATCATTGTTTATTTTGTCTGGACGGAAGCTCCCGTGTCTCAAGGCATTATTGAAGGTCATTAAATGTAGCCAGACTTTCWTTGCCCACAGACACAGAGTATTTGAAAGCCAGGCTCAGGTGTGTTGAAAGCATTTTGGGTGTAGTAGCTTTCCCACAACAACACCCTGTGAGTGCCCATTTCAGCTACATGGGTAAGGTGAGRAAGTCACTAACAGGGCCATCAACTGGGAGAGTGCTGCCTGTAACTGATATAATTACATACAGGAAACACAATATATAGCCTAGGAGGGATAACTCTGTACATCTAGATCAAGCAGCAATTTGGACTATCATTCCTTTCCATCATTTTGCATTTGCACATCCTTGTTTTAAATGCACAGATTTAAAAACACCCTTTGTTGTTGTTGTTTTTTGTTTTGTTTTGGAATCTCAGAAGCACCAGTACCTTTGAGCAGGTTGGACTAAGCAGTGCAGTCTGCAGGAGGCTGCAGTTTTCAATGTTACGCTCCATTGCTGTCATTAATTGTTTTACGGACTTTCGACTGTGTCTCTATGATTTGTTTTACCACTCTGTGATACATCTGCCCTTTACAGATTATTACAGAATTCTTTAAATGACTTATAATAGCAATATTCAAAGCCCTCACATGAGATGATCCTATTTATTATGAATGTGGTACCAATTTCTGCATGATTTGTATTGGGTAATAATTTAGCCTTTGAGAGATTATAGCTGGTTTCCAGGTTCAAGAGTGAGACCAAGTTAATTACTTGATTGCAAGGAACCACTACCACATTTCTATTTTATGTTGATTTTAGAGGAGAGTTCAACCATTCTCCGTGCCTCATTGAATCCAGCAGTGATTTTGCTGTTCATTTTAGGGCTTTAAAATAATTTTGCCCTCTGTTAGGCAATTGCCTCTCCATTTACTGCAGGTCAGGATTTGACAGCAATTTTTTGCTGGGCACTGAAGCATGCATCATACTAAAGATGCTCAACAGGCAACGGAGTTTTCTTGCYGTGTCTTACAGTAGTATTACTAGCTCTAGAATTTTTTTTTTCTTTTTAAGACATTTTGCAAGAAACTTAAATATCATGCGTATTTTATAACTGAGAAGGAAAAACACAAAGTAATGACATGAACTGGCTGCATCAGACGTAGAACCTGAGTGTGCAGAACCTGAGTCTGAGGTTCTAAACAAAATTTTCACGCTAGCCACACTAGCTAGAGGGCTTCCACATCACAAAGTTGGCCAAAAAGGGGTTTTAATGTAATGGCACTCTTGACTGCTTACCTAGCAAGAGCTGGCCTAACAGATCAGGGGTTGAAGGTTGAAGGGCTGGTTTCTCTGTAGTCTCCACTGCTGCCAGAAAYTGCTAAAACTCTCAGCAAAGATATAATCAGTTATAGACATTTTATATTCTTGAGAAAGAAAACCCTTGTTGTGTCATGCCATTTCTAAATGTAGTCACTCTTTCCAGGTCAGTTTGGAGAATTTAGGCTCTAGTATGCAKGTGTTGCCTAAGAAAAATATATCATTCAACTAGATAAGCACAAAACAGCCTCTCGAAGGGGAAGAGGGTTTTTATGTCACATTTTTGCTTCTGTTTTTCTGGGGGTTTCTGGGGAGCGCAGGACTCTCTTTTTCTTTTAGAATATAAGTTCTTAAGGGCAGGGACTTTTCATTCATTTTTATGGAGATCTGTACCATCTCTTGTGCAACATGGATACGTAACAGTAAAACTCAAATATTAGACTACAGATGATGAACTTTCAAGTGGGACTTTTTCCAAGTTTTTAAGTCTCTACATTGGCCTTGTTCCCAGCGTATAGCCGAGTGTTCCTGGTAGCTGACTGCACTATACACTTTAAAGAGAATGGCTACAAAGGTCAAGATGTTCATAAAATCATTAGTGAAATGTCAGAAACAATTTAGTCCAAGTAAAATATCTCCCTGAAGGTATGAACTACCCATTATAAAATATTTCTTCCAACTGCATTTCTGTCCATTGCCTTCATCAYGTAAGAACTGGACTCCTGACAAAAACTGCATGCTAATATATAAGATAACAAATTTAGAAAATTTTTTTGAACAAGCACATAATAAAAGACTTGCAAGACTTTGAAGGCTTTTTTTATTTTAAATATAAACTTCAAATGAAACTRAAATCTCTGAGCCTAACCTGAGTTTCCAGTTAAAGTCATAATGATTGATAGGTGATTGATATGATTGATATAAGTTAGTGAGAGTATTTTAATGTGGTTGTATGATGCACTTTGTTATAATAGTGGTATTACTTGTAAGGTGTGGATATGTCCTAGTAGTTTACATTGTGGAGCCCTACCTGGAGAGGGAAGAGTTTGAGGATTAGGTTCATCCCTTTTCTAGCTTAATTCTTTCACAAAGTTGCTTGCTGCAGAGCTGAGGAGGGCTGAGCTTTGCAGTTCTGCAGTGGCTAAAGTTTCTTCAGGAATAAAATATTTGACACTGGTAAGTGGATGATTGAGGACCCCCATCTTTCCCTTTTTTTGGAAAAGAAATGGGCATTAGTTATTGTGGGAATCATGATATAGTATGAGTATAGAGATGCTCTCTATATTAATATTAATAATTGGCAGAAACTCTTGTTTCAGAGGTTTGAAGACTCTGTAAAGGTTAAATGACAGAAATGTAGATTCTGTTTAGATTAGATTGATTCATTTTATTCATTTAGATTGATTCATTTAGATTGATTCATTTTATTATTATTCTGTTAAGCAATGAAAGCCTAATTTGGAGCTCATATAAAGCAATATTTATAGATCTTTGCTTGATTTACAGCATACACACTTCTCGTTGAATTAGCTTTCAGAATCCAGGTGGCAATCATTAATGTCAGCTAATGTCTTCATCATTAAATTACAAAGTATTTAATGATTATTTTTAACAAATGTTTGATATATTGAGAACTTATTTTCATTGCAAATCTTGATGAGACGTCATTCATTGACATTAGCTATTAAAACAAAATAGCTGACATGGTGGATCATAACATATGTAATATAATAGATGGTCCTGTTCAGTTCCACGGAGATTAGCTATACATCAATAACATTTTAGTAGATCAATCGTAACTCATTAGAAGTTTTTATAYCCCAGCACTGCAAGGATGATATAACACAAAAAGCATTCAGATGCTTTTGAAAGTTAATGCCTTTCAGATAACTTTAAAGAATTCCCTATGTGTAATTGAGACTGCATCAGAACTTGGTTACATGGGGTTAATGGAGCCTTCCAAGCCCAGAGGTCTCTCATATGCAGCTTTTTCACAGTTCCTTGTAACTGGCATCGTGTATAAGGCTCCTCCTCAGTCCCCGAGGATTCACTGAAATCACCTTTTCTAATTGGAGTTTATGGTAACAAGGATTAAACTTTAAAACTCTGRCCGCATCTCTCTTTCTCTCTCTCTTTTTTTTTTTTTCCTCCATTGGTCTAAAGTGAAGATTAATCCTCAAGCTTTTGTTGCTCTTTCCGAGAATTTTTGATGTCTGAGATCTTTGTTATTCTTAATGGATAAGAACTGACCTGGTGAGGGAAACACTTGGCCCCTTGCAGAACTCACCATTTTATGATTAGGATCCTGTTCTGCTAAACTCCAGTCACTAGTTGATCTCGTATGCCAAAAAAAAAAAAAAAAAAAAAAAAAAAAAGGAATCCTCTACTTTAAACACTGACTAGTATTTTATTAAGCAATTTATACTTGCCTGGGTCTTTTTAGCTTAATTAAGATTGTTCTGATAGAATAAAAATGCCCACTTTGGGGTTTGTTTTTCTTGTTGTTTTGATAGTTCAGTGACATAATGACACGTACTGGTTTGGCTAATTAGGGAAGACCTTTATGATGAAACAAAACTCCCTGACTCCAGCTTGCTGCAACTGTCTTTATGTTTTGATGCACAACTACAATTCGAAAGATAAATTGGGGGTTATAAAACAGACACAGAACAAATTTATTGAACTAAAAGTTAGGATACTTTTCTCCTTCCTCAACAAATATGTGTTAAGAGTAGATGTCTAATACACTCGCATTGTCTATTTATACAGTTTTCTGTAGGTGTGTTAAATACTCTGTTTTTCACAGTAGTATTTTTTTTTAATGTAACCAGAAATATAATAACAAAATGAAATATCAAATATCACCCATGCTGGCATCCATTTCAGTGGAATGTCGCATTAAACTAAGCTCAAGCGTGTTCTGACATCAAGGCAGAGAAGTTATTTTAACAACAAACCTATTCATCTTGTTTACGTACAAGAACAGAATCTAATTTACTTGTGAGCCCATCTGGGTGAGGTTGCTCATTTTAAGTTAATTGAACCAACAATGGACTGCCACTGGCCTTTTCTTTCCCAGGAGAAGAGGTCGAGAGGCAGCTGTGCAGAGACGCCATCTACCCCATCCCCGTGGCCTGCGATGCTCCRTGCCCCCAGGACTGCGTGCTCAGCACGTGGGCCTCCTGGTCCTCCTGCTCGCACACCTGCTCCGGCAAAACCACCGAGGGAAAGCAGCTGCGCGCCCGCTCCATCCTGGCCTACGCTGGTGCAGGTAGGCCCGCCTGCTTGGCCGCGCCGGCCTTCCCCTGAGCTACCGACTGCCCCTGTGGTGTCAAAATACGATTCTGTGAGCAGAAAAGAAAAATTAAACTGTGTTTTTTTCCTTTTTTTTTTTGGTGTAGAAATGCTATTTAAATATAGGTGCTAAATTTAGGCATGGTGCTGTTTTCTAAAAGTTTATCTTGCTGCTGATTTCAGTTAATGCTGTCCTTTGTTATTTTGTACTACTGTCTGAAATTCAAGCGTATTGTTTTCCTTTGTTTTCTATTTAAATTAAGCAAGTGCAATCAGCAATTAAAGATATTTACAGAGGACTGTTAATAACTCTAGTGAAAATTCAGCTCCTCTTTGGTAAGTATGTAAGTATGAATGTTAACAAGATTTTAATGGTTTACAAGAAATGGTTTACAAGAAAGGTTAACAAGATTTTAATGGTTTCAAACATTTTTTTTGTTTGTTTGTTTTCTTAGTAAAAATAGGTAATTATTGTTCCCACATTATTTATTCATAGTGTAACTTTGTTTGTCCTGCAATTCCTCATGCATGGGAGTAGTTTCCATTCATGTAAGTGGTTTGCAGTTAATGCAAATAGAAGACATAGCTGTGGTAAGAAAGAGAAGTAAAAAGGTTTTGTAGCTTCATGATATAAGCTCATCTTTGATTATTTCCTCTGGTTCCTACAGCTGATTTTATTTGTTTTGTTTTTAAATATACATTGTGTTTTGGACTAGAACAAATGTATGTAGTTCTAAAATGGCCACTTCAGGCTTGCTGGTGTCTGACTGGTAAACCCTGTCCTGGCCAACATTTAGAAGCAAGGGGACATTTTTTACCAACAAATTCTTGGGAAACCTTAATCTTTTACTTAAAAATAACATTGAAAAGAAGAGTAAATACTATGAAAAGGTTGTATGCATGTTTTAATTCCCCTTTTAAATGTTATATGCTATATTTCTTCATAATTGAGATGAAGTTTAGCTGAACTTCGATTTTAGTGTCTCTCATGGAAACATTTTGAGAGGAAACTCAGAACACATTTTTGGATGACACTGCAAATAAATATTCTTTTCATATCTACTTGCTTTGTGTAGGTCAAGATAGAAAACATTTTCTGTCTGCTTACACAATTTTTACTGGAGGCAGGGGTTTAACATCCTGACTAGTGAAAATCAAAAGTATTCCAGAAATATTTCTATTTTCTTATGCTGCTTTTTCAAATGCCTTAGTTTGGTTCTAAGGAGGACTTTGGGACTTAACATATCAGGATAATATGCAAGGCAGAGGATGCAGCAAAGCATAGAAGCACAGACTGAATCTTAAGCAGGTGAATTTTACTTCTCTCTGTTGTGTAATGATCAGAGTCAACAAATGATCACAAAGAAAGATTGACAGATCCCAAGCCACAGAGGCAGTCGAGGTGAGAGCCCTTTGCTGCCCAAGCGAACTCATTACTCATTTGATGTTGTAGCTCCACAGCTTGCCTATAAACCTGGCCTGTTTACCTCTGTACAGAGAGGAGGTTTTTCTGAGCTGTTTTAAGATCACAAGCACTGGAGCAATTTTGCTGCAGTACCTTCAGCCTGGCATTCCTTTGCATGCTGTAAAAAATCCAGAGTATATGTGTATATAAATACATAAACACACATATATACATATTAATGTATCTTTCAGGCTTTGGAATAAACTTTTCACCTTTACTTACATGATACTTACGTGTCAGGTTAGGTTCAATTTTGGGGCTTCATTGAAATTAAACTTAATGTCTGGTAAAATTCCTGTATACTGTAGTTCTCTGTGGCCTGGCGAGTGCCCATGTGGCTCCTCAGCTGCAGTAGGGAGCCGTGTGCGGGGCGTGCGCTGGGACACGGCTGCAGGTTCCAAGGGAGCAGAGTGTGGGAACATGTTAATGGAGCTGGTTGTCTGCATCCTGCTGATAGCAATAAGGCAGCTCCACATGAACCTCTTCTGGGGGGAACCTACCGTCCTCATTTCTATTCAGAGCTTATCAAAAGCTGCATGTTATTATTAATAATTGTTATGTGTTAATGTAAATTCTGTAAATACCATTTTAAACCCAAGTCATATAAATGCAAGACCAATAATTCCTTTAACACGTTAAAATCGTGTCCTGAAGACAGTTATTAATTCATTCCTAGCAGTCCCACCACTGATCCTGTTTGGATTTTTGAACTTTTTCTCAAATTGCTGGTATTAGAGACAGAAAAATGACATAGGTAAGCTACTTTGTGGCAATTCCTGTATAATGTAGCCATGGTATTTGTCAGTTTTCATTCCGAATATAACAAATATAGGACAAATATAAACAATTGTACGTAAATATACTATCCTCACACTATCAGGATTGCAGATGAATTGATGAAGGAAGGTGCAAGTCTATTGCCAACCTCTGCATAAGGCCAAGCTTGGCTTCTGTGATGACTTAAGTAGCCTGGGTTTATCTCTCAGGGTCCTTGATCTCGTGCATCCTGCTGCGAGATGTCACAGTGAATTGAGTCTACAAACCTGACAAGATCAAAGCATTCCAGTTATAACAAACACAAGGATTATTGCAATCCCTCCAAGTGACTCAAGTGCTTAATTCTCCTTCATCGGGTTACTTTAACCTGAACGACCCATTCAAATTACTGAGGCTGTGTAAATACATCTTAAATATGCTGTTGTATGCGAGTCTCAAATGGCTTCCTGTGAGTGGATTGTCTCTATGATTCAGTTTCTCTCTTCTTTGAATAATAATAATAATAAAATCTTTTGGCATGTTAGTAGAGACAAATGAAAGCCTGTGATAGAACTACATCTTTTCACACTGAAGTCCTAATTCTTTTCTTATTTCTCAGCTGTCCATTCTACTGAAGTGGTTTGAAGAAGCCATTAAGTTAGYGTAACTGGTCAGCAGAAAAGAGATGCGATATAATAGATTTTCATGGACATTTCAGAATAGGATTAATTCAGCATTTTTATAATAATTCCTTGGTTACCAGGATAGAGTCACAGGAAGATTTTAAGGTTTTAATATAAATTACATTAGTGACAGCATTTTCCACTAAACTTTAGGGTAAGTTGAGATGGGGTGAGCAAGTATCTCTTGTTGGTACGTCATTTGCATCACTGCCAATACCTCTTCCTGATGCAGCAAGTTAACTTGGGAAAGTCATTGACTCAAAATTTAAAATATCAGGAGAGGACATAATGCTATAACATGGTACATCACGTATTTGAAGAAATGTTTTATTTGAAACAAACTTTAATGGCAATGATGGAAGCAGTGCATGTGGATGCCAGTATCTTGCTATGGTTATTGTATGTTCATAGACTAATGAAGTATAACACTAGAGGGACTATAAAGTATGATCTCATGTATTACTGAATTGAATGGTATAGAATATCAGCTGTCAATTTGACAGGGTGCAGTAGCTCAGACTTCTCATATAGSAAATAAATTAATTTACTGAATGTATAAGGAATACATGAATCAAAGGAGTTTCTTCTCTACTCAGGCAAATACTGGTTTTCATGCCTTAAAATCTTACTATTGTTAAGATTCCACCATAATTAATCTGTATAGTTGCAGGCTTTTTAATATAGTCACTCTTCTTATACTTGACTTTTGTTTTGTTTTTAATTTGCATATATACTCCTGCCTGAAATTGCAGTGCTTGATAACAAAACCAAAAGCATAAAATTGATTCRTTGTTTTCCCAACAAATCACCTATTCCTCAGAGGATGAGTGTTGGAGAAGCCATGGGTTTTCATGAATTTGGACTGAACTCAAGTGAAACAGGGATAAGAAAGAACATAGTTTTGGAGATCGCAAATGTGAATTTCCAGCTAGGCTGATGAAAGGATTTTTCATCCAAGGAGAACAGAGGCAGAGGAAGTTACTTCTTCACCTTACCCTTTGGAGCTCACCAGTTGAGACGTGTATGTGGACATCTCCGACACAAGAGCTGTCCAAGTAAACGCTTGACCAAGAGCTGCTGGCTTGACCCCAGCTGCTGGCTTGTTGGGTGCTATTGGACAGGGCTCTCAAGGTTTCTCCTGTAGTGCTGCTTTAGTTGGATGATCAACATATACTCAGTGAGGAAGTGTCAGTGTTGGCAGAACTGGAGCAGGAGGTACTCACCAGCGTAGACATTCTTTATTCTTGCTTATTTGTGGTCTGCACATAGTAACACACATCTGTCTTCAGGACTTGAGCTGTCTGTGTCCCCACTGCCCATAGCAGAGARGAGATGTGCAAATTGAGTAATTTCAAGAGTTGCTTTAGTTTCTTCTATGCTCTTAAACTTTAAATACTTCAGAAAGATATTCAGTTAGTGTGCTGGGTGCAAGTAAATACTTTATATTCTAGTTGAAATGCATGTGTAAAATTACATGCATTTGAAATGCATTTATAAAATGATATCAAAAGATTAATCAAAATGATGCTTAAATATTTTAAAATTGCAAAGTAGTTAGAAACTTGGAATTTATCAAGAAAATGTCACACACACACACAAAGAAAAAGATTTACAAGAACTCATCATTGAGTATTCTAGAGTGAGGTGTCTTACCCATTGCAACTCCAATCAGGCAGATTGGAGTCCAAGCGGGCAGATTTCTCCTGCCTGCAAATCAGGCAGAAAAGCAATCTAAATACTTGACAATTCTAATAAACCATTCAAGGAAACTACCCAGTATCTCTGCTGTTTTGTGAGTAATATGCAGGTCCCTCTATAAAGCTAGCCTTTCATTTCTAAATATGCTTGCTTTTGTTTAAGTATCCAAACCAAGAAAAAATGCTGCAGCTGTTGTTCATACCTTAAAATGTTTATTTTTTAGTACTGCCAACCACAGTTATTTACACTCCTCTAATCAAGTATTAAATTAAAGTCTTATTGCTGTGGGCTCATTGTTGTTTCTGATAGACTTATTTTGGTTTTGGTGCAACTGTTTTATCTTTTCTATGGCTAAAACTACTGATTTTTATGTCCCTGTCAAAGCTGTTCTCATTTAGTGAAAGGCTCTCAAAGTTGAGCAGCTCTGATCATGGCATCCCTGCACAGATGCTATAAAGTACACCTCTGATTGCCCATTTTCCAACCCCTTCTGCTTTCTCTTTACCTATTTTAGTTTATGGGAGTACAGRGGAATAAGGTTTTCCTGGAGAGAATGGCACATTGTTTTATGTGTAAAGAGTATATTTTAGTAACACTCATATTTATTACTACTGGTAGCCAGTATTATTATTTCCAGATTCTGTTCATTCTGTTCATAACTTTCTTATACTTTCTACTGCTTTCATTTGCATAGAACTGCTTTGCCACTGAACTGCAGATGTTTGTGCAAAGATTTTTTTCCTAAACACTTACTGTCAATGTCACTCTCTGTTTATGTTTTTGAGGTTTCTTTTTTCTTATTTCCCTGAATTCTTGCATATTTGTCAAAACTGAATCAAAATTGTCACTTTATACTTAAATGCTTTAGGGTCTTGTGGATATGGCATCCATTCCAATGAGCCATTTCTTCCCCAGCATGTACACCTTTAATTTATGAATTYGCTTGAGTGCTCCCTTTGAGCTTCACCAATATCTGAAAATATGCTGTCTATATAATATGAAATGAATGAGTGTATTTTATCTTGCTGGAAGTCCCTGAGGTCATGTTGAATGGAAGTAATTAATTTAGCAACCTTGGAATGTCTTTATCCATTTAAATTTTTCCCTTTCTACCCCTTGTATTACGGGAGTCTCCTCCTCTTGTAAATCTTTTTTTTCCCCTCCTATTCTAAAGAATTTATGATTGTACTATGTTTGATTTATTAGCCTTTTCAAAAATACTCTTCTTCCAAACTTATTTGCTTATATTCCTTTAGGAAAATGCATATAACTTACTGCATTGATGTAACATCTTGAAATCTGTGACTATTGTGACAGACTTGAGTTGCATCTGTTCTGAATCAAAAAATGTAATTTCAGTCATTTTTGATTTGCCATTTGCAACTTGACAAGTTGTGGGATTGTAGTAACCTCACTTTTCAAAACTTACAATCAGCTAGTCTTTGGCATGGCTTCTTGAATGATAATAGTGAAGCTAACATTGTGTTTATTGTTGTAGCTCCAATAGTTTTATCCCAAATTCAGTTTATCCCAAATTCASTTTATCCCAAATTCCCCAAAATAGCCCTGTGGAGAAAATTCCAGGAAAAATCTAGAGATTTTGTCCCGTAAGTTAATTAGAAGAGTCTCCTATAATGACTGCTAGCTGTGCCGTGAAAGCAACTTAAGGAGTATAGTGTTTTCTCCTCTTATGATACTAGATTTATTTGTGTTGGCACACTTGAAGTATCCCTTTATTATTATTATTATTATTATTATTATTATTATTATTATTATACTTAATTTCTTGTTTAATATTTTTCAACAGTAAGTGCTTAAAACTCCTTCCCTCTTGCATATCTATAAGTCAAGGTGTCCATTCAACAGTGGGGCAGAAAGGCTAATATGTTCTCTGATAAATGTCTGATGTAATATATTTTTCTTTCAGAGAAAAGCTCAGGATTGTTCATATACTRTAACTAACACAAAACCATCTCTTTCAGTTGTTTTTCCTACACTTATTGTCTATTAGAAGAGAATATAATGTTGTTTAGGTTCTTGGCTCTCCATCAGCTGAAGATTGAAGTYTTATTGTTTCTCCATGAATAATTAAATAAATTCTTATATCTTGATTCTTTATGCCTTGCATCACTGGAGATCTGGTAGACATATCTACTTGTATGAATAGATATCGGGTTGCCTATGATCTAGTCTTGTAAGAAGGCTTTTTATTTGCAGAGCACTGAGAAGACAGATTAACTTTGAAGTGCATGAATGTAAAAAAAAGGAACATGTTATCTAAAACCGGTCACAACAAAGACAGCATTATCAGAGCTTTCCCGCGTGATTACTGGCACACGAATGCATTAAATCCTAACCTGCGACAGCCATTGCTGTCTCAGCCTGGGCCTCAGATTGCCAGCTGTGCCATGCTTCTTGGGTAATTATGAAACAGGGAGAAATATCCACTGGGAACTAGGACAAGAGTTCCAAAAATATTTTTAATTGATCCATGAATTAGACATAAACAGTGGTCTCTAGACATGCATAAACAAGAGCATGTAACCTTGTCTTCTGCCTAGAGCCTTCTTGCCTTCGTCTATTACCTCATACAGTCTCTTGGAAGGGGAACCCCTAGATAAAGGYCCTTTTGATTGCTTCAAAGGCATTTATTATCTAAGTCAGGGTCATTTTAGCAGTTACGTAGTAGACACGATATACATTTTCATTTATTGTCTCTGGATATTCTGACGTGTATTGTCTGTTTGCTGAAGTTTGTCCAAGTGGCATGTAAAGAATACAACAAAAGAATAGCCGGGTTCTTTTTATGTAATCAAAGTCATAGTATGATTTCCTAGTATATTTAATAAAACAGGCTGTTTTTATTTTCTTCTACTGCATGAACTTTTGCCCTGTTTTGTTGTTCCAGGAGGAATTCAGTGCCCCAATAGTAGTGCGCTACAGGAAACACGCAGCTGTAACGAACACTCTTGCACTGTGTATCATTGGCAGACCGGACCATGGGGACAGTGTATAGAGGATGCTTCTGTGTCTGCTTTCAACTCATCTGCCAGCTGGAATGGGGAGCCCACCTGTGCTGTTGGGATGCAGACAAGAAAAGTAATCTGTGTGAGAGTCAACGTGGGACAAGTGGGCCCAAAAAAGTAAACGTCTTCAAAACAAAATTTTCTTTCACATTGTAATTATTTTTCTATTTTACGTCTTTAAATGTGTGTAATCAAGATGGCTCCACACAAAGACAAAGTACYCCCTTGTCTTTGTCATTTTTTAGAAGTACAAAACCAAAGTTACAGGACTGTGAGGTATCCTTCTCACTGCTCGTTGAGTGGTTCTGCCCGCCACTGTGATTGCTGAATCTAGCCGGCTAATGTGTGTGGTGAGCAGTTCAGCACCATTTTGGAGATCCTGAAGAGAGCTTCAAGCAAGAGGTGCATTTATGTAGGTTAACATAGAGCCAGGCAAACATTTTACTACGAGTGTAAATATTGTGCAGCCTTTGTAAGTAAGTGCACGTGCTCGGAAGCAGAGCAGTGAGCTCACACAGTGCATCTGACATGGCAGTGTAGAGATGAAGCTGGTTTGAAAACCTTTGTTTAGAGGGCCCAGTGATTTCCTTTTACAATGAAATATATCAAGAGGATTAAATACAGAATAGTYGCTGGTAGAATGAATTTGATAATATCTCCGTAGAGTTTATCAGTCTCTAAATACATCCCATTTAGGAGAGATTCAGAGCTGAAACAGCTGAGAGATGAGGTCTTTCAGGAAGTCCACGAGGCAGCTATTCTCACACTAAATATTTGCAGTAAATAGTGCCTGTCATTTCTCACTTTATTCAGCAATACTAATTTCTAATTTACTTTAAATGGAAATATGGAGAATAGTGCTAGTACATTCAGTAATCTAAATTGTGATATGTGTACATTAAGCTTCTATTCTATCCTGTCATGTGATACCATTATATCGTTTAGTTGGTACTCAGATTAAAAAAAAATGCAGTGATTTATCTTCTTATTTTTAAATCTGCTGTTAATGTCTCTGATTTGACCTTAAATTTTGGGAAAGAGGACTGTTGTGTAGAGTCATAAATGAATCCTGTGAAATAAGAACAAAAACTGTTGGTTGATCCTTCAAACTGTCACATTAAAATCGGTCAATCGTTTTTACAAAACAAGACATTTGACATGAAAATCTAAATAAGAACCTTGTTTTAAACTTGCCTTAATAAAAAGAATTACTTTGGTACGATACAATCAATACTATTGGCCTTATCTGCCTCACAAGTTACAGACTTCAGCTCATATCACTTCTATTTAATTTGACCTTGAATAAGGATTGCAGAAAAATCAATACTTTGCTTTAAGCCACCTATACTAAACACAAGCAATATAAAAGATAGAAATTGTGTTCTAATTGAACTAATTGCCATGTCCAAGGATCTGAAGAGAGATTGCAGTGCTTAATGCTCCCAAAAGATGAAGTTCTGTGTGAAACAGTAAATATATAGAATTCCACCTTTTTGTAGGTTAATAGTTGCTGTAGTTCTTAAAGGAAAATAAATAGCAAGCCAGTGTTGACTACTTTTCAGAAACATTTTCATTTTTACCCCTAGAGAAAATTTCTGAAAATACAGTCACTGTATATAAATGGTGGCAAATCATTTTTTAAAGTGTATTGACTTTGTATAAGATGCATGCATATGTCATTTGATCTCCTGAATCCCATATAAAAAACAGATAGGGGAAAGAGGGCCTTGTTATAACTGAGAAGCTGGCACTGCTTCACACTGGTGTGTCATTTTGGAGAAGTTTATGCAGCTAGACAAGGAGCTGCAGGGAAAGCTGATGGAAATCATGAAGTAGCAAACATTGTAGCTGAAGACAGCATTCCTGCAGAGCTGCAGCTCATCTTTCCTTCACCTTCTTACCCGGCTGTTCCTTCCCCCCCATGCACAGAGGTACTTCTCCTGCAACTGCAGAGAGCACAGGTTCCTGGTAGTGCTAGTTGATGAGAATTTGCCTGGGCTCCCGCCAGCCTGGCAGGAAAGGTGCTTCATGCAAGCCAGGCTGCCCTAGCTGGTCCAGTCCAACTGTGAAATTGGTCTCTCGTCTCGCAGTACAAGATCTGCAGCAGCCAACAGGAGGAAGAAATGAGAATAATTGTGCTTTTCTGTAGTGATACAAAAGCTCCAAAATGTACAAGTGATGTTTTCCTTACCTCTTTATATAATCTTCCTATAATCCGCATATTATGCATTTTTAAAAAAAACCATGGCAACGTGGAATGATGAAAACAACCTACACTAATGAGTCCCATAAGTGGCAGCCCTATAAGCCTTTCTTTTATAATGATGAAGTCTCTTTTTAAAGCAAGCAAYGTTTTTTGTCCCTTCTGACAGTCTTTCACAGGCTTATTGATCTGGTCCTTTAAAACCTTTTTCTGATTTCTGTCATCATTGTGACCAGCTTCATGTGACCTATTTGTTCTTGTGTTAGCAGTCCTGCTTAGTTTAAGTATCCCTCCCTGCAGAATTTATGGTAAATTTACGAAGAGTTAGAAATATGTTTTGCTAAGATAAACCAGATGAGCTTTCTTTATAATCTCTTGGAAGTTCAAAAATGAAACCAAMAAGGCAGAGCTGGGAATGGGGAGCAAGGATCTGTGCCCGCTTTGGGTTAAATATCCAGGTTTAGAGGATACTGGTTTGGACTTGCTTCCACCAGTTATGTTTGAATTATATCAGTTTTTATTTCTGAGCTTAATCCTGTTGAACTGTGAGCAGCTAGCACTCCCATTGAGGACCTGCAGGCGTTCAATCTCTCTCGTGATTCACTGCTTCACTGCAAGATGATTGTATGTTTGATAATTTTTCTTCTTCCATTTGCAGATGTCCAGAGAGTCTTCGACCAGAAACAGTGAGGCCGTGTCTGCTTCCTTGTAGGAAAGACTGTATCGTCACGCCTTTTAGTGACTGGACATTGTGTCCAGCTTCATGTCAAGACGGTAAATTATTCTATTGTGGTCCAGTGGTCACATTTAAAGAAAATGAAAATTAGTCTGGTAGTCACTTTTGATATATTTGTACCACTGTGTATGTGTGTGTGTACATATATATATATATCTCCTGACAAAACTATTTCACTTTTCCTGTTCTATTTTCTTCTACCTCAAAGAAAATGAAAGTTAATAAAAATCAGCAGAGTTTAAGCTGATGTTAATAGTCACACTTAAACATATATGCCAGAATCATTTTAACACACTTGGCAAAGCTTTTAAAAACAATACAGGTGTCTCTTGAATTTTTATGAACTGAAATCACACATAAAGCTGAAGTGATGACTACTGATTACTGCCCACATCTCTCTGCCTTGCTCCTTTTTCTTTCTTAAGTTTAATAAGAGTTATTTTTCTAATATGTACTACTGTAGACATAGTCAACAGTGTAATTCCATGTTCCACAGGGTGCTAATCCCTTTGTGAGAGGGACGTGGTGATTACTCACAGCTACATATTATCAGGATGTTAGATGCTCTTACATCAAATATACACACTTCAAATGTCACAGTCAATTCTTTATGCCTTGTAAAGGTCAGAAGCATAAACTGAATTTTACAGTAATAATTATTGGAGCTTAGCATTCTTGCAAATAAAGTAGGGTTAGTGTGATTAAATTTACAAACCTTGAAAATGAACAATAGTTAGGACTGCTGAAGCCAAATCTATGAAATACTGATTCATTACTTAAATACTATACTATCTTGGAGCAATATTAACAGTTCTTTCAGACATAGTTTTGTCGGGACAGATATTTTGGATGAAAGTGCCACACTCTTCAGTTCTCGATCCTGCATGCTTTAAGAGAATTTTTGATGCAACAACCATATCTTTGTGAATATTGACTACAAATTAGAGTATATTTTGCTGTAAAACAGTAAATGTATTAAGTATTACAACCATGTTGCCTATTCTGTGAGTCCAGTGGTGTTTTTATATTTCACACACAGTCTTAATGGACATCACTCATATGTGTTGGCAAGCCAGGCAGCGGCTTCCTTAGGTCTTGCCCGTTGCTCCGGGCTGCTCCAGTCACTGCTTTCCTCACTGACACAGGGTCCCAGGCGAGCTGAAGAGTGGCCAGGTGGTGGAGAGCCACTGCCATGATTTCTTACTGCCTGCTCCTAATTACGGTTGTTTGGATAAAGTCCAGCATGTTTCTGTGTTCAGACAAGCAGCAGCTGCTGTAATAACCCACCCAAGTTTGATAGCAGCTAGTCAGCCAAATATCTGCTTTACAACTCTCTGCTAAAAAGAAAAAAAAATCCAWTATATTTATTTAGTTCTACTTGTGTATTATGTTTTGCTACGAAAATGAATGTAAATTTGTGAATTTGCTCTTATTTTTCTGCCTGGAGCGCTGAAGAGGACTGGAATCAAAATTCCTACAGGAACCATTTGGTGTTAATCATTAATAATGAATAACTATAATAATTAAAAACAGTGAGCTGTAAATTAATGTAGGAGTAGTGAAATAAAACTTCATATTTAAATGTGGAATATGCTCTTTAGGAACATTTCTTGTGCATCTAGATATGGTAATGTTGTCCCATGTGGGAAATGAGGGAGTACAAAATAGGATTAAAGTGAAGCCTAGATAAAACCAGGAGTATCAATTAAATGTGCTGTACTCCTGGCTGTGGAGATAACCAAAAGACAATTAGATTTTCTGATTGAGTCATTTAGTGAATGGAAAAATTGTGAAATATAACCATTCCTTACCTTTAATTCTGCATCTTAATGATTAGGACATTACCGCATGAAACAGCAGAGTACAGCATCAGACTGATTTAGTTTTATCTGAACTGTGTATTCATTTGTACAGTGTTGCTACTATTGCTTTCTGTTTAGTTCTGCTTCTTGGACATTTAGCAGAGATTAATGTGTTTTTTATCGTATCTATTAGGTTTAATTTTCTGCCTATGGACAAAATAACATGTCTTTTTTATAGCAATTGACTCAGGTACCTGTTGTGTTAAAGCTTACTCTTCCCCTAACTACTGACATCCCTGTAAAACAGCAGGATAAACAAGCTCTTCTCTTTGCAGGGGATGTTGCAGTAAAGAAACAGTCCCGTCATCGAGTCATTATCCAGCTCCCTGCCAACGGAGGCCGGGAGTGCCCGGATGCTTTATTTGAGGAAAAGGAATGTGAAACTCCTCCTGTCTGCCATAGCTACAGGTAGTGCTAGTCCACCAGAGCCAACTTATCCGTGATTTTTCAGCCTTCAGGAGTGCTTAAGTTGAATTTCAGTTGTTAAGAAAGTGCATAAATAAGGATACATAGCTAATTCAGGATTTCAGTAAAATTATGTAGTGGTAGATCAGGGTTGCTGTGAAAGCTTTTTGTTTTTTTTAAATGGGTATCCAGTAGCTCATTTTGTTGCAGTTCTTTGGCAGGAACATTGCAGCTGCTGGGAACTGCCTTTCAGGATAAATCTTTCCTAGTAACTATTTTGAAATTCTTTGTGATTAAAAACGCTTATTTTAAATTATCCAAATGACTGAAATGCCGCCTCATCTGTTAAGCGGAGTTGTGTTTTGCTGCCATACTTCAGGACTGTGTCCTCCATATATCAGTCCAGAAACAAACCCCTATTGATTAGTTCTACAAGGAGAACCCTACTGGTACAGTAGGGGATAGGGATACCTAATTGGCAGCAGAAGTTCCTGAGGACTTTTCCAGCAAGTCAGGACCTCTAGATTAACTAGATAAGACAATTTTCAGGCAGTTTTGAAGTATCTGTTTACATAGGATTGGAAAGTCTAGACATCCAGCAARATCTGGCTGTTGAGACAGACAAAGTTTAGATAGCTCTGTTGCGGTTTCTTGGATTTTCTTGGCAAATAAATTCTTTATTTAGTTTTGTTTTGAAGAGAAGAAAATATGTTAGAATTGGAAGCCAGTGTTCCATTTCTTCAATGACTGCATAAGAATACTTGCTGATTCCCATGAAACTACTCTCTGTTGCACGAATATTAATAGGACCTAATTTTATTTTAGCCAAAAGAATTTGGCTAAATCCAAATTGTATCCATCTGAAAGGTATAAAAGGATGGCAAACAATAATGTGAACCTACTAAAATGAGTATTCCGAACAGCTGGGATGTAGCTTGAAAAATTGTTCTGATCAATATCGAGTTAGAATTTCCTCTTTTTAAATTCTARCTGATCCTCACCTATTTAGCACCTTTATGAACACATATGACTTGACAAATGTTACTAATTTTACCGGTCTATAACATACTGAGTAGAATTAACAAGTGTAGTTAGTGAGTAATAGATGAGATAATTTAAAATTCTTCATGTGAGCTGGTAATAACATATTTTCTCTGTATTTCCATTAGCATTTTTCTGACCTACACACATGCTATGACAGATGGGCTCACACACTCGGCTTTGCTCATGCCTTAGTTTAGATACTCAATAGCAAAGACCAGGTTTGCAATGAAACTTGAGCTGCAAAGCCATTTATTAGCCATCACTTTAAGCATGAGAGCAGCAGACCATTTGAACTTTGAATGCAGGTTTTGTTTTCTCCTCCACTCTGAATAATTCAAGCCACTGTGGATTATTTCAAAACTATTGCAATAATGAGACTTCCWTGAATTTGTTACTTTTAAATCTGAGGTATGCTGCTGCACTACAGTGGGAGTTTGTGAAAGTTTCGTTAATAAAATAAGAATGTTCTAGAGAGGAATAAAAAAAAAATGAGGAAAGAGAAAAGCAGAGAAGGAGAAATATATGCACAAACACCAGAGTGTGACACTGTTTAACGCCAAAGGTAGTTCCCAGGACTGCAGGAACCAGAACTCGATGCTGAAGTCCTATCTCAATGATGTATTTGAGCAGCTTCAACACATCTTTCTGTACTAGTAGAGAGAAGGAATTTAATTAATTAATTAATTAATTAATTAATTAAATAAGGGAGAAAGAAAAGAAAGTAAAAAGGAGGTGAGATTCATCAGCGCTTGACTAGTATTTTAAACTCGTCCTTGCTTAATGACAAGTTTTTATGCCTTGCTATAAAAATTTTTAACATATTCTGTTGAGTATGTTTACATCCATAGCAAAGGGTTTCTTTTATTGAATAGATATTAAAATCATATTGATTGTGTATTAATATCTTTTGGGGAATTTGTCTCACATCTTGTATAAATATGTGTTAATGCTGTGTATTAATGTGTCTAGATATGCTTTCTGTAAAGTCTAATTTTAGCTGATGAAATTCTGATTATATTCTTTACTTTATGTAATAAGTAAACAATACACTCACATACACACACGTAATTCTCCTAYTGTGGCTTGTATTCACTGCGTATTTGTTAAATATCCTTAAGGCACTACAGTTATGGACCTCTCCACTCCTCTTCCTTTCTCCATGCTCTTAATGCTGATCCTAAAAGACGGAAAAAGGTTTACAGGGCAAAGGAAAATGTTTATAGTGTTGGTAACCCTTTGTTACGGATTTTCTGTAACCAATTCAGAGTAATAAATAGTATCTTGCAGTTGATTCTAGGTATTATCTAGCATTTATGCTGTCTCAGTTTTGATTGTTGAAGATCTAGATGAATATTAATTTCTCCCCTCATTGCAGATGGAAGACCCACAAATGGCGGAGGTGCCAGCTTGTGCCATGGTATGTGCGTCAGGATAGCCCAGGAGCACAGGAGACCTGTGGACCAGGGCTACAGGCAAGAGGTTAGACCCTTTCCTTTCTTGTGATCTTTGATTTCTCAGAAGTCTATGGGTGTGTGGTGTGGGAAATCTGAGAGAAATGTCTAAAACTTTAGTCATTATGACTAGCCACTAGTTTTACCTAATTTCATGGACATCAACAAAGGAAAGTACTATCTGCTTGTATGGTAGGGGGTATCCCAGCCAGTATTTGGCAAATGTTTATTAAGTAACCATTTTCATTTATATCTAAGTATTGATGGGACATATATCTAAGTATCGACTGCATTCATGGTACTGCTCGTTCAGCTTATTTTACCATCCATATCTGAAGCAAATTTGCAGACATATTGTTCGAAAGCATGCTTTCAAATGTTAATGCTCTTAAAAAAGAAGAAAAAAGAAGGGAAAAAAAAAAAGGTGCATCACTTTATCTTCTATGATTTGTCATCACAACAYCCTCAAATAATTTCAGCTGGAAGGAAGCTCTGGAGATAACATGGCCCAACCATCCACTGAGAGTACAGCCAGTTTTGAAGTCAGATGCAACCCAAGCTGTTTGCTCAGGGTTGAGCAACTATCCCATTGGATTTTGAGTATCTCCAAAGATGGAGATTTCCCAGCCACTCTGGGCAACCTGCTTTATTTTTCTTACTGTGAGATTTTTTTTTTCCTGTTACCTAATCTGAAATTTCCCTTGTTTCAACTTGTACCTTTGGCCCTTTATACTTTTGGTGTGTGTCTCTGGGAAGGGTCTGGCTCGGTCTTCTCCAGATTCTTTCATCACATGACTGTAGGGAGCCGTAAGATCCCAGTGTGGGCTTGGGAGTGTACCTGGGAGGGGCAGGACTCCCATTTATCATCATTGGACTTACCTCAGGTTTCTGCAGCCCATCTCTCCAGCCGTGTCATACTGAGTGCTCTTCTCAGCTTGGTGATGTCCACAAACTTGCTGAGGGTGCTTTCTCTATAGGTTGTTACAGACATTAAACAGAATTGACCCTGGAATTAATCACTGAGATACAACACCTAATGGTTGGACATCAAACCACTGACCCTTTGAGCCCAGTGATCCAGACTTCTTATCACCAATTTCCGTTTAATAACAAATAAATCAGCCAAATCCAGCCTTACCTTCTCCTGTCTTCATAGAGAATTTCCAGAGTTCGAGAGAACTGCATATGTGTGAGTCTATTATATAGGGCAGGGAGATATTTTTAGATGTTTTAAATAAATTCAATAAGAAAACAATTACAATTCTTACTGTGTTACAGTAATTGAATTGCTTTGAACTACAAGTCAACCCTGAATTTCAGGAGGATTTTTTGCCTTTTCTGAATGCAAACTCCAATCCATTATAACAATATTAGCTCAGCAGATTGCGAAAGTCCTGACCAAGGACATTGCTAACTACAAAAGTGAAATGTTCTAGTCATTAACTTCCTTGCAAGATTAAAGTAGGTTATACTATTCTTTTTTAAAAAAAGTCATAGGGTAAATCTTAAGCTAGTAACTTCTGTCACTTACTCAGAAGGTGTTAAAGGAGATCAATTTAAAGCTTACCACAAAATGTAACCTGAAGGTCTTGCCTGCTAATACAAAAGACTTCTGACTGTGGTAATTCATACAATGATCTGTTCCAAATGCAATCTGTTTCTAGCAGCCCAGGAGGATACATTCAGAATACACACTGAGAAAATCAGATTTCTGTCTTTGATGGCAGGAGTTAAGGAATAGTACCAAATGTGGTACTTGCATTGCAGAACCTAAATCTATTGCCTTTGCCTCAAAATCAGTTAATAGAAAAAGGCCAGTAATGGTAGTGTGTGGGAAAAAAAGTACTATTATTGTATGTTGTGGTGGTTTGGAGGTTTCCCTGTAACTGCAGTCGTGTCCAGTACACACACACACCTTGATTAATGGGTGGTAGAGCTTCCCTGAGCTCCTGGAGGTTGATAACACAGAGGCTCAAGCACTGAAGTGGGAGCCTTCTTCCAACCTGCAGATGGAATGGAAGTTGGTGGAGCTCTTCTGTAGGGCTTGGCTGAACAGTAGGATGAGCTGTTCTTATTGAAGAAACTGAGACAGCTAAGCCTGAATAAATCAGGTGGGTTTTGTAGAATTCTGTAAATGAAACCAACTGTTAACTTCAAGGGAGATTTTTGTTTGCTCTCTCTTTTTAATAATTCTAATTATAATTTTTATTTTAAAACTCACAGAGAAGGTGGTCTCTTAGGGCCTCATGCCAAGAATACAAATGTGAATCTTGTCTACCCTGGTCAAGTGAAAAGAATTACAGGCAYATAAGCCAGAGCTTTTTTGGGCCAATATTTTTCTTATTGATATAACTGATAAAATCTAAGTTCAGATCACATATATAATAATATATTATTATATAGTAGTATATGTATTGCTGGTACAATGATAGTTGGATAAGAATAGCTGGCACAATGAGCTGAAGGGTTTTTTTCTGTGCTCAGTAATCATTGAACTGATATTCTGTAAGGRCTAAAATTAAAGCTAGTTCAGTATTCTTTACCTTGAGAAAAGTTAATTTTCTGATCCCTTGAACACCTGTACAATGACTTTTATTTGGAAGTAAAATTTGAAGTTTTTGACAAAAGTAACTTTCAATTTGGAAAATATGTCTCTACAATTGTGTAAGATATGGTTCTAAATTTTATTATTTTTACCTCAAAAATTGCCTTTTCAACACAGATAGTTTATTTTGATTGGTTTTATTATCAGTTTGCTCCTTCATAGAGCATTAAATTATTTCTTTATCCTCTTACATTTCATTTTTTTTGAAGAGAGCCATGAAGATAGTCATGACTTTTTAGTGGTGACCATYGCGTTTTCTTGATCCCTTGCACGAAGTTGGACTTTATGCAAGATTGCCACTGAAAGGAGGCTGACCCTGCAAGCATCTGTCTGATGCAGCTCTGCACACGACTACTAGAAAGGCTTCAGCAGTTTTTGAAATAAGACTCTGGAAGAGGTTTTGACCCTCTCCCTCACAGATTCTGTAATCTGTGGAGGCTAAGGAGGCTTCCTGCATTTTTAGCTTTTTGCAAATAGAGTTTCTAGAGACTATGGAAAACTTCACATGATAATATGTTAGAAGTTCTGTACTACATGATCATTTATTAAAGACTGCTTTTTTGATGTAGATGCAAAAAAAAAAGGCAAAACTACTTCTCTGCAAGGACTTCTAGTTGTATGCACCGCAAATTCACAAAATGCTAAACCTTGAGAAATGAAATCCGTTTGGTTTAATATTTTGATACTGCATTTATGATGTCATACTGGAATACAAATATTTTGAATAGCATACTGAAGCATTTCTAGCAATCATTCTGTAGAAATGTTTATTGTATTGTGAAAACCTACAAATAGCAGCATTTCTTCTTCAGTCAAAAGAAGAATTCTCTGATATTTCTTGATCCTCATGAATACAGAAATCAGTCATTCATCTGTTGGCAGTAACTTGCCTTTGGTGATGAGGTAAAGCTGTAATCTTACAGAAATAATCTCAGTACTTTGCTTTATTAGCAGATTGTCCTTTTATTTTGTATCGATATTCAGCAGAGAAGGTAATTGCATTCTTGTGTTTGAGAACAGTTCTCAGTTCTTCTTTTTCAGTGCGAGGAGATGTTGCCATCACCATTAAATTATCCTATTTCTGATGTGACTGCCTACACACAAACACTATAACACATAATATAGCACCAAATGCGTTAAATATGAAGGAATGTGTGCTGGAGGATGGGCACATCTGAATATGCAATAATTAGCAGTTTATTCTGAGCAAAATATTCTCTACTGTTTATGCTTTAGTTAGAAAGATAATTACTTTGGTAGGAAAAACTAGAAGTTAGGAGTCATTAAAAATGTCTGTTTATGTATTTGATCATAACAGASGATGAATAATGCTGCAGCATATGCATGCCTTGCTTTATATCCCTACTTTACTATTCACATTTCTGTTCTTCAGCTTTTTTATCACATTGTTCTTGCTTGACAGAAAAGATACCTGGATGAATCATAAAATTTAGAACTGTGATTCATTCTTAAAGACAGCTCTGTCTCTAGCTGTCCTGTATACTGATGATTTTGATGCAAGTGTCAGTTTAAATGAACATGTCACAATTTCAGAACACGAGTCAAAGCAGGGGCAAAAGAAGAATAAATTGGGGGTATTTCTTGGTTAACAAGTGTATTTCTTTAGCATTTTTAAAGATAGATGTTCCTTATTCTTGCCAGTGATGAGCAGCCATTTATAGCTAAACCCAAGCAAAATAACAGAGCATYTAACATCTAAGCAGCAAGTTCATTGTTGTAGTCATAGTTATTGTGGTGAATCTTCGTTGTGAAAGAAAATTTTCTCCTGCCTCTTAGCAGTGGAGGAGCAGAGCAGGAATATCTTTTATAATTTGCAGTGTTCAAACTTCTACCTTTCTGTTCTCTAAAACCTCTAATAAAGAGTAATATGTGTGCATCAGCTAGAAGTTTGAAACTTGCGTTTGACCCTGCCCAACAAAAAGTAAAAAAAMCAGCAGTTGTTAATTAGCAAGACTAAATTAGCCAGATGTCTTGATGAGAAACAGAGGAGTCACCTGAAACCCATGGGGCAAAGGCATAGAGGACTGGCAGATCCAAAAATATAAAAACTGAAACAAACAAACAAAAAAAGCAAAAGTGTTTTTTTTTTTTTTTTTTTTTTTTTTTTTATAAAAACAGACTGCTAGTAATTGATGGAAGTGATGTBGACTATAAACCTCACCATGAGATGGACTAGTTTCAGCTAGGGTATCTGCTCAGTGATGCAAAGGCTTTCTAGTTCTTTAAGCTGATGTGCATCATCATACATGTAATTTCAAAAGGTCTRCTCTGTGAGATAGGCTAATGTATAAAACTTGAAAATGTAAACAATTTAAGTAGGTGTACCTTCTGCTAAACTCATACCTTAAAACATCTGTGACAAGTAAACTTTAGGTTCTTTAAATTCTGAGTAAAGTTGTAAATACATTTCAGAAGCATTTTGAAGCGTACATAAAAGCCTAGGAAACTGGCTTGCATATTAAAAGTCAGACTTGTTGGACTGAATCCCAGTCCTTGTCAAGAGGACATGTAACAGATGAAAAGATGTAGTGCCCAAACTGCAGTAGTCTACTCACGTCATGACGTCTGTGRATGGATGGGTGCACAGGGAAGTGCTGTCCCAGCGACTCAGAAGAGATATACGAAGGGATGTGCTGCCTGCAGTCCTTGACACCATAAATCTGCCTCAGAGTTTGTAAGAGGAAAAAGATAAAAATGGTGAATGCTGSCAGTATCCTCTAGTAGAGGAGGTAGATTATTTATAAAAATGTAAGCAGAAGCTTAAGTAACCTGGCTGCCAAAGGAAATAGCTCTGAAAASCTGCACCTGGTGTAGTTGGAAACTGGCTGCTGTTGAAGGTCTTCTGGTCCTGAGCAATCTCGCTGTGCTTGGCACTTAGCAGTGTATGAAGAGGAAATACTGAACTTGGAGAAATAGAGGGCATGTCCTGGGATCAGTGAGAGTTCCAAGGGGGCCTTGCAGGGATGCTGGAGACACGAGCAGCTCAGAAGCAGCAGCAAGAGGGAAGACAACCCAGGCTTTCCTCTGACTGTTGCTGGTACTGGACAGCTGCTGGACAGTACAGCTGTCATGAAGAGGTTTTTGCTCTTTGGCAGCTTCATGGACTCCTGGCAACAGGGAGAAAGAAGACAAAATCATGAAGAAGGAGTGCTGCATGAAGGACTGGCCGCTTTAATGTAGCTAACCCTGATAACTGASCACCCTACTATCTGCTTAGTGTTTTTGTCACTGCAAAAGACAACAGGCAGCTTCCAGTTTTGTACAGAAGTAAGGGTTTGTACAACAATAGTGCTCAAAAGCAGATGCGTAAACACAAGAAATGAATTTTTTGTTGACAAAAGGACAAAATCTCCAGAGAACCTTTCTCAGCGATGACGATGATATTCTCTTTGCCACATTAAAACCTCTTAGATTTGCATTTTTATGAACCAGTTAGTACATGTTCCTTAACATACCTAGTGAGAGAAATGTTTCATCACGCAGTTGTCCAGTCTGCATGTCCTACTCAGGCAGCCAGAGATGTCAATGAAGTCCTAGCCTAGCCAACATCGATGTTAGGGGTCAGAAAAGTCACAGAGTCCTGGATTAATTATGGTCTTTCTAGAAATGAACTAGAATATTTCTGCTCTTAGAAATATTTAACAAATGAAAAAATAGTAACACAATGTGTTGTAAATGAARGATTTCAGAGCACTTTTTTTTTCTAAAATATCATAATTTTTAGCCATTGGGATCACTGAATCTCACATCATAGTAAAATGTTGGTGATGGGATTGATGGGAACAACACTAGCAAGATTTATGTATATAGGCGTGCATATATAAAAAACTTGTTCAAATATAGTGTCACTATTTCATTAAGCCTACAACAAAATATATTAGCCTGTAGTCCCCCATGGTTTAGTTCAAGCAGTGCTATCAGATAAAGCTTTAATTACATCAAAGTTCCTTGTCTAGAAAATGTACGCTGACATTTATTTYACATCTCTCTTTAGGGAGATACCAATTGTTAAATACAACAACAGCTTCATAAGTGGACTGTTTTTCTGTTAATTTTGATTTTTCTGTAAGGTGTATTCTTGGCTGCATATTTTCACTTAACTGTGCTTTTTGCTTGTGCTAATTCAGTAATAGAAGAACCACATTCCACTTACTGSTAATGTCTACTATAAATACAATGTGGCTGTATAGGTGAAGTAATCAGTCTGTCACTGAATGGCTTTAAAGCAGTGGAAGACATTGCTCCTTATAGTGAGTTAATCATTGATCTCAGCTGACTTTTACAGAATGTAATTAGGGAACCATGGATTTTATCAGAGACACAGGAGATGGTTTTGCCCAAATGAGACTGTATGTGGCAAAAAGTGATATTCTTAACAGCTCCACTGACCATAAAGGCACTACAGAGGTGAAAAAAATATATATACCTAATGAATTAATGGTACATATAGAGATGTAAAAAATCCCTGTTTTAAATTAATGGAAAAACAGTCACTTTTCTAGTGCTCACAAGGGTGTAAACACTCAGATATCTGAATCTATGGAAAAGCAATTGTAGAAGGGAAGATAATGTCAATCATTCAAGTCTTGTCAACTAGGATATTATTAATAGTTATGGAAAGGCACTGTGAAATTAAGATTCATGAATTTGGTATGCCAAGCTTTCCTTTAATAAGTGCTATAATTAAGGTGAAATATTTAGGTCTCAAGAATGCCTTTTTTTCTTGCTTTGATTGCTACAGCACAACTGACAGTTAATCTGGAGAAAAATAAAGTGTTAATCTCAGGGGGAGCTTCTCACTTGGGTCTGCTTGATGTAAATTACATGCATGTTTTTATAATTGTGATAAAAATATATGACAGTTTGAATACCTACTCACAGAGTATTGTTTAATAACCAAGAAAGATGTGGAGATGAATAGTGGTTTTAGAAAAAAATCAATTTAGCTAGAAAGTATATTCTCCTATGGACAATGTTTATGGGCTATCAAAAGACGAGACAGAGACCAGTCTCTGAAAAGCAGTATCTAAAACGAGTATTAAACTTTCAGAGGTGGTTATTAAAAGTTATTGAGTTAATTTGTGGGCCATCATTTAGCCCTTGGCCTTTTTCACTGCTAAAAATGGTGGCCTATATCTCCATGGCAGCCCACTTAAGTTAATGCAATTAGTCTTACTGCGCGTGCCAAGGTCAGCATCAAGACAGAGGGTTTCAGTTTGACCTCTGTGAATTTGAACATAGCAGAGCTTGTCTGAAATGCATTTTTATCTCATGGCATATGATGCATATTATTAGCAGAAAGGAATCTCTCAGAAKGCTGCAAGGCCATAGCCTAGGCCTGCGTCTGAAGATACTGGTTTGACTTGTGTTTTTACATAATACTTAAGTATAGAGAAGTCGTACAGTAGTTACTATTAACACATCATTAAAATAGCTGTACAGATTTTCAATTTTCAGCTGTTTAGGTTTTCCCCTTGAATCACTGTAATTCTATCTGAAGAAAGGTGTTTGTTCCACATAGAAGCTGCACCAAAATAATAGGATTTTATAGAATAATTGCATTAGACAATGTACAGCTGGTCAGTTCACCAATAAGCTCAACTAAATGCAGTACTGAGCCTATTATAAACAGTGCTGGCGGCCCTGCTCCAAAGGGCAGTCAAGGATCACAGAAGTTGTTTGCTTAGCATCTTTGGAAAAACAAAAATCCCTCCTAGTCAATATGTTCTATCACAGACCTAGGGCAAAATAAATCACTGTAGGGCCTTTGGATATGGTTTAATAGGCACACAGATTTGAAAAAGAACGTCTGGATCCTACAGTTCAGCTTCCTAYGATCGTCATGAAGCAGAGATTTTGCCTAGAACTGTCAGAATAAAAAGACTACTTTAAAAAAAAATTCTTTCCTCACATCTTCACATATTCTTTCTTTTTCTCCCCATGCTTTACAGGTATTTTTCTGCTTTATTTT